CATGGTGCACGTATAGCACATAAAATAACATCGGATGTTACACATGTTATTTGTGCTAAACCAAATGTTGATGATACAAAATTAAATGAACGTATAAATGTATTCAAAAAAATCAATCGTGAACGTTCAACTAGATTTCATTTAGTTAGTTATGAATGGATTAAAAATTGTATTCAAAATCAACGACTTCTTAAAGAATTACCGTATGCTCTGTAGAAAATGTTTTTTGTTTTTGTTTTTGTTTTGCTTTTTCTTTTCTCGATTTTTTCTTGTATATATTTGTGTAATTGTTAGTTCGTTGTCATTGTTAATTCGATGAATTGAATAATAAATAAGAATAAAATAATTAATCTTAGCTTCAATTGTACTGGAACAGAAGGCGATAAGTAGTACATTCTTTTTTTTGTTAGAATAGATTAAAATATAGAATTTAAAGAAAAAAAAATATGCTGCTGACTGATATTGATGTATTAGTCATTAGATTGATTTGTACCTCTCCAGGTGTCAAATGACTTTTAGACTGAGACAATGTTTATTTGATGAGCAATGGAAAAGTCGACAATGGTTTAGTGTCAGAGCTTTCGCTCTAGAGTTATCTAGATTTTACTGTACTTTTCAATGAAAAAGCTGTAGTCATGTGGAAAATTGACTTCCAAGTTTTGACTTGAAACTTTGCATGAACAAAGTTTTTTTATGAGATTAATTAATTGCTCCAATAATATGTCCTTTCTAAATTGAAGTCAATTTTTTATGTGACCTAAGAGGACCATAGCTTTCTGTTGAAAAACCCAGTATATTTTCGATATTTCAAGAACGAATGGTAGGATAGCCAAACCATTGTCGACTTTTCCATTACTCATTAAATAAACATTGTCTCGGTTGAACAGCAATTTGACACTTGGAGAGAGGTTTGCTCATAAATTTTATTTTTCGACAGGAAAATTCTGCTTGCTTCATATTTAAACAATATTCTTTTATGTACTATGTCAATTCTTTACTAACAGAAACAAATACAAACTCGTCATTTTTGAAAATGATTAGTATCATTTCTCAATAAGGAATATTCCAAAATGTATAAAGAAACTCGAATTGATATAATTAAAATCAAATTCCTTCCTTGTTATCTCGTTACATGAAATGTTATTCAGAACAATTAGATTATCTGTCTAGTTCTACGATACATGCTTTACTGTAATTTATCATTTATGTAGAAGACGAAACAGAATGTCTGACAGAGTTATTCATGGAATGCATATACGCATTAATGCGAACAACAATTTTTGCTATTCTTTATTATTCTCGTCTTATCAATGGAATTTTTCTATTCTTTGAATGACAACAAAAAGAAAACAGAACAAATACTAAAATTCAACATTCTTTTTTTTTATTCGATGCAACTTATTCAGAAACAATTATGTTATATACGAACTAAGAAAAATTATCAATGTTCTTTTATATTATAGTGTTCTGGTTACTCTCTTAGAAATATGTCATTTCAGATTATATAAAAATTGATGATATCTATTCAACAAACTATATACATATACAGTTAAAGTCAAATAGTAGCTAATAATTCTAGCAGTATAGGAAAGATCAAAGAAGCTTCTTATTATTTATAAAGCATCCATACGCACATACTTGTATCGTATAAAATATTCTGCTTTTCTTGTTCTATATTAGTATTTACGAAGGAGACAACAGCGATTGTCATTGTACAATTGTAATATGTAATCAATACTGTCAAGTTTGTTACTGATTAAGACAAATATATGCAGACATTTCGATGAAAACGTCTATGTAATAATCTATGAGGCACTTAGTAAACACATTATATCTCGTTTTCACACTGTCAGTCAATTTAATGATATTTCTGTCTTTTTTGAAGACAAAACAAGATATAAACAATAAGCTGAATAATAGTTTAAGACAAAGGGTACTTTGAATGGAGGTACAGAATCTAGGCACGTACGCCTCTTCATGTTCTAGTTATAAGCGACGGAATGCTTTGAATCTATGGTAGACTCAACAATCTTTATAAAATCCCCATTGAGAAGTGAAGGATAGAGTAGAAGAGAAGCAAATTATTTATAGAAAAAAGACGGGGAACAGTTTGTCCACAAATAGACGCTATTTGAAAATCACTTTGGAAATCAGTACTACCTTACAAAATATGCTTTTTCCTTCATCACTAAACCATTTTCGATGCACATGAATGATTTTCCTGAACATTTCATAGTCCATTTTATGAGATATTTCATCAATGTATACCGAGCAGGTTTCTGTCTGTGATAGCATGATTCAGTGTCTATAATCACCCAGTTTTTCAATGTGAAACTGCCGCTGCTTTATTTTTCGGGTAGACGGAGCTTTTTGAGAGCTAAAAAATGATGCGAAAATATATATGAAAATATACTGTCCTTGATATTTTCCAAAGTACATACTCCTATGACCCTACAGAAAAAAGATAAGATCGGACAGCTCTGTGCACAGGATCTCCACCGTAAATCATGAAATCAGAGCCATTTTTTCAGGACAGATGGGTCTTTTTGCGAGCTACAGAATGATACCTAAATATATAGAAAAATGCATTTTCTTGAAAACAATTAGAAAATTCAAGTTAAGAGTGTGAAAGATTGTCATCGATTATCTTGTTGGTTTATGATATCCGTCTGACTTTTATGATCATGAAGATAGTCTATGAAAGTTGAGAAAGCGAATAGATGAAATGTCAAAGACGTTGAGTATTGGGTGTGTTGCACTCAATTAGGATTAGAGTGTAATGCATGGGATCGTAGAGCTCAAAAGTATGTTACTTTCGTTTGTGAATTTTGCCAAGTAATATTTGATGAATTTAGTTCTGAAAAGAAAAGTCATGGGGTAATATATATATGTATACTGTCATAGAGTTAAGGTGCACAGATATTTATGTTCTAAATGCCAGAGAAAAATTCAAACTCTGAAATACGTTTTGTATAGCGGGCATTTGCAGTGTTCGTGGTGATCAATTGTTGTCGAGCTGTTCTAGTATCATATCGCTCATAGGCGAGAAATGGATGAGTCCACTATCTGTGGATAGCAACCGAATTTCGGAGGTCCTCCCAAATATGTAGAACCAATGTGGTTCGAACCAGGCCAAAACTATCGATTGAACTCCGGCATACTTGTCGCTATAATGTGCACTATCGATAGGAGACCGCGGTTGTCTTTCTGAAAGTGGTGTATTCTGATGTATTACTTTCATTCGACATTTATTTAACCCGCTACCCATGATAGGGCCTCAAGGAACATATGATTTTGAAAGCAAGTTGCTCATGAGATAAAAAAAAAAAGCAGAAGCAGTACAAAGAGAACAGAACAGAATGATATGCATGCCTTCTACGACCATCCAACGTAACATTGAAACATGACCTTCCAACTTTGCACATACCTTCCATAGACATGACTGACGAATTGTTTTGAGTTACTCTGTACATACCTCGAAATCGGGCCGCATTTTGATGGCCCGGCCCGACTTAGAATAGTACTATTAAAAGTATATTTCTTTAAAAAAAAAGCATTTCTATACTATCAAACTGCACAAGCACTACGGTCATTAATAAGAACATTGTAAAAATTATATTATCACATTGATCATAAGTTGAGTAAAATCCGACAATGTTAATGTTTTGAAAAAGAACACTAGAGTCAAGCCAAACTGCATATTAAACAGAAAGGCTAATGTTTCGTCGTAGATACTCGAACTTCTGGAGGATTATCATCCATTAGCACAAGCTTTCACAAGAAAATAGCCCGCTGATCAATTTCACAGAGTGTGATCGTTTAACATGTTTAGTCGTGCTGTTAATTTTAGTGCATGGTTAACCTAGTTACACTTCAGTGGAAACCATGCTACTTAATGCTTTTGATAGTGTGCTTAGGTTTGTGCGTAGATAAACAATATAAGTGAACCAAATAAATTCTATTTTTTTTATACTAGATATATAAAACTTTCAAACAGTTTGCATAATAGAGATTCCAAGTTATGATCAATTGCAAGACGCAAAGCCCGTCTAAGAAACTTTAAGGAAAAATCAGAAAAAATCGAGCATTTTTTGGAGAAAAAATTTATTAAAATGATGCTATTTTATTCTGATTGAAATTTATTTTTTCAGTTTGAAAGATTGATTTCAATTGATTTCAGTCTCTTTTGATTCATTAATACAGTACTGTACATTAAAACTCTCTCTTAAAATACGATTAAGAAAGGCTGAAACCAATCAAAATCCACTTTCAAAGTGAAAAAAAAACAGATTTCTGTTTTATTCAATCAGTTTGATTTCAATGGATTTGTAACTGGACAAGAAATTTTTTTAAAATTAGATTTTTTCTATTTTTTGAGGTGACAACTTCGATGAAAAAGCGATGAAGCCCGGACCGGGCGGCCCGACAAGATTTTTGACCCGCCCGGCCCGTTTCGAGGCCTGACTTGGTATGACGTTGTGCTAAGACATATTACTTGTACGATATGGTTAGACAGTTTGCTTGTTCGGTGAGGAGGAATAAAACCTCGTACGCTCCGGTTTCGAATCAGAGACGTGCCCCACTTGACCAGGGCTCCCAAAGAATCATGACACATTGCATCGGAAACGCCTGCAAATGTTTGGGGTCTCTTGAAATTTACGGAAATTGATCGGCTTTGACGCACTCTTATAGTGTAAATACGGCTTCGCCGACTGCACCAGCCACATAACCCAAATCTAATCCGGTTCTCAAACAGATTTCTTTATTATGCATGGGCCTTCGAACATTTTTATTTCTAGTATCAATTATAAAATTGCTTTTGTCTCGATAAATGTTAATTCTTTTTACTGCGAAATTCATATTTCTGTGAAAAAAATTCTCTGGAACTGTTTACCGTTGAAACCACAAGTCTCAAGTACAACTGAAAGTACATCATGGTTCTGCATTCGGCTTTCACAAGTACTCCTGTATACCGGTGACACTACGGATACACGTGCCACACGTTACATAATCGGGTGATCTCTGTTACGTCAAACTGAACAGCGGCGATAGCTGGAGGATTTTCTGTGCTACAATTGGATCGAAATCGACGAATGTCATTACCATCGTGGTCGATGCATTCTTTGACTAAAATGCAAAAATTCGCACTGATTACTGCAGCATCAATCCTATGCCATTTCCATCTGATCTCACAAGTACGGTCTTTGGAAAATGTGGAGAGCAGTATATTTTCATACATGTGTTTTCGAATTGTTTTGTAGCTCTGAAAAAACTCCGTCTAGCTTGAAAATAAACCAGTGCAGTTTCACATTGATAAACTGGTAATTATAGGCATTGCATCATTCTATCACAGGAAGAAATCTGCTCCGCATACATTGATGGGCTATTTCATAGAATGGACTATGAAATGTTCAGAAAAAACATTCATGTGCATCGAGAATGGTTTAGTGATGAAGAAAAAGCATTATTTGCAAGGTAGTACTGATTTCCAAAGTGATTTTCAAATAGGGTCTATTTGTGGACAAACTGTTCCCCGTCTTTTTTTTTCTATAAATAATTTGACTCCCTTCTGCTCCCTATTCTTCACTTCTCAGTGGGAACTTTATAAAGATTGTTGAGTCTACCATAGATTCAAAGCATTCCGTCGCTTATACCTAGAACATGAAGAGACGTACTTGCCTACATTATGTACCCCCATTCAAAGCATTCTTTATCTTAAACTATTCTTCTGTTTATTGTTTATATCTTGTTTTATCTCCACAAAAGACATAAATATCATCAGATTGACTGACAGTGTCAAAATGACATATAATGCGTTCACTAAGCGTCCCCGAAATTATTATTCTCGATATATTTGTCCTAATCAGTAACAGACTTGCCAGTATTGTTACTTATTACAATTGTACAATGACAATCGCTGTTATCTCCTTCGTAAACACCAATATAGAACCAGAAAAGCAGAATATTTTATACGACACAAGTATGTGCGTATCGGTGCTTTATAAATAATTAGAAGCTTCTTTGATCTTTTCTGTACTGCTAGAATTGCTAGCTACTATTTGACTTTAACTATATTTGTATATAGTTTGTTGAATAGATATCATCAATTTTAAATAATCTGAAATGACATATTTCTAAGAAAGTAACCAGAATACTATAATATAAAAGAACATTGATAATTTTTCTTAGTTCGTATATAACATAATTGTTTCTGAATAAGTTGCATCGAATAAAAAAAAAGAATGTTGAATGTTAGTATTTTTTCTTTTTTCTTTTTGTTGTCATTCAAAGAATAGAAAAATTCCATTGGTAAGGAGTGAATAATAAAGAATAGCAAAAATTGTTGTTCGCATTAATGCGTATATGCATTCCATGAATAACTCTGTCAGACATTCTGTTTCGTCTTCTACATAAATGATAAATTAACAGTAAAGCATGTATCCTAGAACAAGACAGATATTTTAACTGTTCTGAATAATACTTCATGTAACGAGATAACAAGGAAGTAATGTGATTTTAATCATATCAATTTGAGTTTCTATATACGTTTTCGAATATTTCTTATTGAGAAATGATACTAATCATTTTCAAAATTGACGAATTTCTATTTGTTTCCATTAGTAAAGAATTGAAATAGTACATAGAAGAATGTTGTTTAAATATGAAGCAAGCAGAATTTTTCTGTCGAAAAATAAAATTTAAGAGCGAACCTCTCCAAGTGTTAAATTGCTTTTCGACCGAGACAATGCTTATTTCATGAGTAATAGAAAAGTCGACCATGGTTTGACTATCCTAGCTTTCGTTCTTAAAATATCGAAAATTTACTGGATTTTCCCACAAAAAGTTATGGTCCTTTTAGGTCACATAAAAAAACTTTGTTCATGCAAAATTTCAAACCGAAAATTGAAAGTCAATATTTCACGTGACTACAGCTTTTTAATTGAAAAGTACACTAACATCTCGATACCTCTAGAGCTAAAGCTTGGAAAACTTAACCATTCTCGACTTTTCCATTACTCATCAAATAAACATTGTCTTAATCGAAAAGTCATTTGATACCTGGAGAGATTCCTTTGTTCGCAACAATAATCTAACAAGAGAAGAATCAAAATGTCAAATTGTATTTGAGTCAAGACTATGCACATCATATAGACCGTAATGAGCTTTGAATACGCTGAAACAAATTCAGGCTATTGTTTTATCGTTGCTGAGTTATTGCATTTTTGCGATATTTTTTAGTACACTGCTATGGCCACTTTCAGGAATACTAAGAAAATTGATCTTTGAATTCTGACATCAAATTTTGCATTGAGACAGCCCTTAACACGAATAGTTTATTGTGAAAGTTTCAGATCATTTTGTTTTTCATGTTCTAAGATATGAGTATGATAAAAGCACGTTTTTAATTTTGCCCATGTATACTGACTGATTCCGATGTTCTTATTTCAAAAAAGAAGCAATCAAAAAAACCTGAAATGACAACGCGAAAACTAAATTGAAGGAATTCAAACCAATCTAACGACTAATCCATAAATATCAGTCAGCAACATATTTCCTTTTTTTCTTTAAATTTGATATTCTGATCTATTCTAATAAAAAAAAAGAAGGTACTTCTTACCGCCTTCTGTTCCAGTGCAATTGAAGCTAAAATTAATTATTTTATTCTTATTTATTATTTAATTCATCGAATTAACAATGACAACGTACTTATAATTACACAAATATATACAAGAAAAAATCGAGAAAAGAAAAAGCAAAACAAAAACAAAAAACATTTTCCACAGAGCGTACAGTAATTCTTTAAGAAGTCTTTGATTTTGAATACAATTTTCAATCCATTCATAACTAACTAAATGAAATTTAGTTGAACGTACACGATTGATTTTTTTGAATACATTTATACGTTCATTTAATTTTGTATCATCAACATTTGGTTTAGCACAAATAACATGTGTAACATCCGATGTTATTTTATGTGCTATACGTGCACCATG